TTAATCATAGACATTTCTTAATTCCAATAAAGTGTGGCGAGTTATCAAAACAACAACGATGTACTAATATTTTGTTTTGTTTTGTTCATTTACATGTCATTTATCACAGGTTCAGGTTTGCTGTTGTTAACGCAGTCCTTCATTTTATTTTGCTTGGCTCTTTAAGTATTGATTTTTCTATACATATGTGATCAATGTTGTTGCCAAACGACCGTCTATAGAATTCTGCATAACACTAGGTAGGCCTAAACTTTCACAAAATAATTGTTTTCCTTTACAGCGGGTTTTGAATTATTCATGTTTTCGGATTTGATCGCACTGTAGCCGCATTTCCTTGTTATTTCTGTTACTTGGTTACAGATTTAACGGTAATATCACTTGAAGTTTCATTAACTAGTGAGTACATCAAGTTTTATTCCCGGACGTGAAAAAGTGCGTGGTTTAACTTAAAACGCCACCTAATTGTTTTTTTATTATTCTAACTTGTTGCACAAGACACGGCAATACATCGCGGTTAACACGCATCCTGATTGTTAATCATTAAATGTTGTTTGTTAGTCTTTTTTTTTCTCCGCGCAGGAGAACAGGATTAACACACACATTGCAACGTTCGGTTTCTATTTGTCTCAATTTTAACAGGACAAGGTTAAGTATGTTAACAGTCATTTTAACTGGTTTTGATAAACGTATTTCTTCTCACGGTTTTTGTTTTGATTTTGTTTTCATTTAACAGTTATAGTTACTTGTCCTTTGAATGAAAGATCTGTGTTTTGACTCGTAAAAATAACACATTTTATTTGGTATAATGTTATATATGCAGATTAAACATTTATCATAAGATTTTTCGCTTCACAATATAACAATAGTTTTCAAAATAATGTATTTCTAATACCCAGATATCTTGTGACCATGTTCGCTGTCAGACAGTATATAGATATTAAATATGGAATAATACATTTCCAGTTAGTCAGTAGCAAAATGTATCCAAATGCTTGCAAATATACAACGAATCTATGTAAGAGATACACCAAATTACCAGTCCATAAACAGCTACATGCAAAACAGTTACTTGCGCAAGAAATATTTCATATTGCCAGTCACTAAACATAACTACATGGAAATATTCTAAGGTACCAGTCTTCACACACAACTACATGTATAACAGCCACTTACACACATGAGAAATATCCCAAGGTACCAAGGAACTATTGAATTAATAACGTTAATGTGCAGGGAAATGTTTTGTTGTGAAAAGGACACCCTCTTACAGTTTCTGATCGCTGGTTTCTTCTGTTGATGTACAGGTAGTGTGGCGTCATGTCCTTTGGGGATGTCTGCTTCAATTTATCTTCGGTCTTGTGATCTTAAGATGGAGCGTAGGAAAAGATATTTTCGAATGCATTGGTAACAAGATAAAGATATTTCTAGCATTCACAGATGAAGGTTCGGAATTTGTTTATGGATATTTAGTAACGGGCAAGATGAAAGATGGTGTTCCTGATCAATTTCCAGTTTTTGCTTTCAAGGTAGTAAAAAAATGTGTTATTTGTATATAGATAATTGTATCTTATATGTGTGTGTGTGTGTGTGTGTGTGTGTGTGTTTATTTATTTTTTGCAAAGAAAGAACAAATAACTTACCAAACTTGCTAGAGATATTTGACTAAGAAACTCTGGAATTGTTACTGACACAGTTTTGAGCATTTATTGGGAATAATTTCTGTATAAATTGGGCCATAGTAAATTTCCTATGACTTGATTTAAAGAACCCAACAAATTCGATTTTTTTAACCAAATTTTCAAAATGTAAAAACGAAATGATAGGGACCATGATATGTTAAATGAATAAATAATCTTATGTAATAACTAGACGTACACTTATCAGAATTACGGCATTCGTTGTTTTCTTGTAGATGAAGTTATCGAGAGGAACTGCTTGCTTTAGTTAATATTTACATATATTATAACCGATTTTACATTAGATTAGACTTAGATAGTATGCTGTTTAACAAGCATTCTAATGTTAAGTTTTGGCCATAAACTTCTGAATCACGTTACCATAGTTATTGGACTCGCTTGTTAAAAAAAAACCAATACAGCTTTGAACTCACTTGTTAAAAAACCTACACAGCTTTGAACTCACTTGTTAAAAAACCTACACAGCTTTGAACTCACTTGTTAAAAAACCTACACAGCTTTGAACTCACTTGTTAAAAACCTACACAGCTGTGAACTCACTTGTTAAAAAACCTACACAGCTGTGAACTCACTTGTTAAAAAAACCTACACAGCTGTGAACTCACTTGTTAAAAAAACCTACACAGCTGTGAACTCACTTGTTAAAAAAACCTACACAGCT